GGGAAAATGTGTTTCTTTTGTAGTCAATACTGAGTCCATGCTTCCAGCCAAATGTTGAGGAGGACGCTGTCTTTTGTTAAGATGTGAAACAGCAGGACTGATTGTTTTAGGGTGCTTACTTAGTAACAGTCACAGTATTAACTGAATTGTTCACATCAAACATCAGCTCTGGGAATGATCTTCTGCCTAAATTTCTCCTGTAGTTTGCACTGGGGAGAGGATTTTTCTATGCTCTGTGCCAGGTTGTCATGCAAAGGTGTTGTGCTGTAGCACACGGCTTCCATCTTCTACCACTGGGGCAGCTGCAGCCTGAAAGTGAAAGGAAATCTCTGTGCATATCCAGAAGTGAACACAGCCATGCACTAAGCTCTACTTTCTGCACAGGCATCCTTCCCAGATGTATAAATCCCACCTGACTCATAACAGGGAGGAACCTGCTAGGCAGTGAGATTGATGAGTAAAAACTGGAAGAAAGCAAATGTCTTTAGCTAACTTACACTAACATGAGTACACTAGGCAGTCTTTGGGAAGAATGCCACCTGAGCCTGGCTACTGTCTAGAGTGGAAGAAACTAAAAGCAATTGAAAAGCACAAGCACAGAAATACCAAGGGGAGAAAACAGACAAAGGAGCAGGTAGTCCATTGCTGAAGCAAGAAAAGCCAGAGGAAAATCCTGTGCTTCTGTCCACATAAAAGGCAGCAATCCAGACAATGGAACAGCTCACTAGCGACTTAGCTTCAGGTTTCACTAAAGGGAAGTTACTGGAAAAAGCACATTTGGCTGATGAATAGATAACTAGGTAAAGATGATATTGCAGAAAAGGTGCTAACATTTTCTTGACAGTTTGAGAATGTACAGCAGCAAGGCTCACTGAAGCTCAAGGACTAATATCAGTGGGAACAGTCCATCTGTGGCAATGAAGGAGTGAACAGATGCTGGGCATTAAGCACAAGACAAAGACAGGGAATGAGCAGCTTTGAAAGAGTAATGGGCATGTAGCTTTACCATCTGGTTGTCCTGAGAAGCTCTCTAGTAGATAACTGGACTGAATCAGTGGAAGAGAAAGGACATTTTAGAGTGGTTCCTAATGTTCTTTTCTTGAGCAAGAAAGGGAACGATCAAGCGTTAAGGTCAATTGAGTGATCCAAGAAACTTTTAGAACAATATACCTGCTGACAGCTTCCCAGCACCACCTAGGAAAAATGCAGTGAAAGGAAGATTTCTCACCACTCTGTTTAACCTACCGTCCCTGTGGAGTAGGGCAGCCGCAAAGCACATGGCACCCTTGCTCAGTATCTACCAGAATGGCTGTGATTACATGGATCTGAATGATGGAACTGGATGTTTCCTTAGCACGTCCTATCCCCAAAGACTGTAGTTAAAAGACAATGTGCTAGGCCCTGTCTTTTATACCAGATAAGCACTAATGAGACCACAGTAGTGCAGGTGAGATCATGTTTTGGCCCGACAACTCAAGAAGTTGCAGACTGCTGAGAAGCGGCCACCTCTGGCAAGAAACATGGTAACTGTTGTGTAGTAGTTACATGGCTGAAGTGTACAGTCATCTGTGGGCTGAGGCCAGCTGGGAGAAGAAATCCAGTGGGGTCCCACAGGACACTCCTGGCTTCAGCATCATAGTGTCATGACTTGGAGGATGGTGTGGAGGGAGAAAGCATCAGACAGATCAAAGCTGCAAGGGAATTGTGGCTACTTGAGAGGACTGGCATCCATCCAGTGCTATCTAGAGATGTTGGTTGGAATAGGCAGCAGTGATGTGCTTGTGCTTTTCTTTAATGGAACCTGAGACAACATGGCCCCAGGCTGGTTACACCCAGCCTGGTTAAAAGCAAAAATTGTGACACTATCCACCATACCAAATTAGAGATGAAAGGAGGCAATTACTTGCGCTCCTCCAACCTGCTGGCATCAGCCGCAGAGCAAAGCTACTACAAAAAAAACAGTTTTGAGTCAGACCAGAGTGGGTGAGAGCCTTCAGCAGCATGCCAGGATCAGGATATGACAGGGGAGTATTACTTACTTCAGGGAAATACCCTCTGATGGGCATAGTCCAAACACCTACAGACCTGTTGGCTTTGCAGTCCCTTCTTGTCCTCAGCCAACTTAAACCTATTCCTGACTTTGTCATCACATTTTCTTTGTTTCTGCAGGTGCTGGGCCTATACAACACGCTGAACCCTGAGGCATCCGCTTCACCCTGCTGTGTCCCCCAGGACCTGGAGCCCCTCACTATCTTGTATTATGTCGGAAGGACCCCCAAAGTGGAGCAGCTCTCCAACATGGTGGTGAAGTCCTGCAAGTGCAGCTGAAAGGCACCCTGGCCCACCCAAAGCCAAGAGAGAAACTGTCAGCACCCACTCTCGTGCTCCCGGGCTAACACAAAAGGAACTGGGAGTCAGAGACTACACATGCTGAGAGCTGAGTGCCAAACCCTTTGGCTTAGGGTCTGGCAACCCTTGGGGATCTCTTCTGGAACACTTCTTGGTCTTCTTGGCAGTGTCACATTCCTTCTGGAAGTCACTTTGGTGACACCAAGGCCACACTCTCCAAAATGGCTGGACAGTTGTTGTGGAAGAGAGGGATAGGGTGGAGGAATTGCTGTGTATTTGAATGCTGAGTGGCTGAGCTGGGAAAGCAAGGGAATGAGAAAAGAGCAGGTGAAAGGGGGAATGGAAATGGGGAGATTTTTTCCATTGTAGCTTTAGCTATCTTAGGACCTCAACTCTCCCCAGTGGCCTGAAGAATTAAAGGTTTTCCCTGTAGGAGGAATTCCTAGAAGTTTCTTTAGAGAAAGAAAATGCACCAAGAAGGGAAGCTGCTGAGAGAAGAAATGTACAGCGATACACTTAAGACTTTTGTTCCTCAGAGCTTTGATCCAGGAGCCCTGCAACTGAAACTTTGTGAAATGGGCAAGTTCAGTTGGCAGATCCTGGCCTTTGGTTTCTAAATGCAAACTGCAAGGCTCCCAGCCAGCCTGCTGAGGGTGGGCAAATACAAGGAAAGAGGGTGCTGAGACCAGTTTCAAAGGGACTGATGTCTCCATTCAGCTCTTCTCCCTGGAGTTTCTGAGAGATGGTCAGGGCAGGAGCAATATCTGTTGGTTCCTGACTATTGGGCCCATTCATGTGTGAGCTGATACACCCCATGGACCTCTTGTCTGTTGTGGTTTGTGAGGTGCTTTGAGGTGTTCTGCATCTGTTCTGCACAATGACCTGAACGTGGCCCAGGCCTCACCTGCTAAGACTTTAAAATAGTAATCTCAAAAACATTGTAAAAAAATAAATATTTGGGGGGGAGATGCTCTTTTTTTCACAAGCAACTTGTTTGTTGGAGGGCTAGATAGTTTGCTGTTTTAAAATTGCTGCTGCTGTGGCACACTCAAGTCAGTCTAAAAATCTTCCTCCTTTCCAAAATGTCTCTTCAAAGCAACAGACAGAATGTAGGTCAGCCAGAAAGCCCCAGAATGGAAATTGCTTGGTACCCTCCAGCTGTTCCTCATTCATATGTGCCCTGTCCGGCCCTAGTCCTTCAGACATGTACATCACCTCTGGCATCTGCTTTTGATAGATTAATATAAAGCTCCCCTCAAATGTAAAACACTTCCAACAATACTGTTTAAATAACCAGGGCAGTGCAGTTGCCTCAGTGGACAAATGTCCTATGTCCATTTGAATATATATGGTCTGCCAGTACAGACTTGTACACACACCCTTCCTCCCAGTTTATCACAAACACTGCAGATGCTTATAAAAAGCTCACAGATGTTGCCCAGGCAAGATATCAATGTACTCTTCTAATGCATGGGCTTTTTTCAGCCTACTGATAGTCCCAAAGGTAAAAATCTGGTGCTTTCACACCATACAAGACTCAGAGGCTGCCTCTCTGACTCTTCAAACCACAATTATTTCAAGTCGTGTTCTAGAGACAACAGAGGTTCTTCCCTATCTGCTCCCAATTCCTGGTCCCCAGCAACTGCATGTAAAGTGACACCAAGCTGGTTCATAGCTGTGGCCAGGTCTCTCCATGGTCAGCTCAGAATTCAGCTCTTCCATCAAGCCCTTAACAATAGTGGCTGCTTCCATATACCTCATGTGAGGCTGCCATAACATGTAATCTCAAACATCTTAATAAACTGTAAACGA